CTGGTGTGGTCCAGCCAGAAGCTGGCCAGCCTGGCATCATCCAGTTTGGTGTGGGTCAACCTGGCATGACCCAGCCTGGCATGGTCCAGCCCAGTGTGGATCAGACTGGTGTGGTCCAGCCAGAAGCTGGCCAGCCTGGCATCATCCAGTTCGGTGTGGGTCAACCTGGCATGGTCCAGTCCAGCATGGGTCCGCCTGATGTGGTCCAGTCAGGAGTGGGTCAGCCTGATGTGGGCCAGTCTGGTGTGAGCCAACCTGGTGTTGCCCTGCCCGGCGTGGCCTTGCCCGGTGTCGGTCAACCTGGCCTGGTCCAGTCTGGCATGGCCCTGCCTGGTGTGGGTCAACTTGGGGTGGGTCAACCTGGCCTGGTCCAGCCTGGAGTGGGTCAGCCGGGCATGGGTCAGCCTGGTCTGGTCCAGCCTGGCATGGGTCAACCTGGTGTGGCCCCACCTGGCATGGGTCAACCTGGTGTGGGTCAGCCTGGTCTGGTCCAGCCTGGTGTGGGTCAACCTGGCGTGGGTCAGCCTGGTGTGGCCCTGCCGGGCATGAGTCAACTTGACATGGGTCAACCTGGTCTGGTCCAGCCTGGCGTGGCCCCGCTGGGCATGGGTCAACTTGGCATGGGTCAACCTGGTCTGGTCCAGCCTGGCATGGCCCTGCCTGGCATGGGTCAACCTGGCATGGGTCAACCTGGTGTGGCCCCACCTGGTGTGGGTCAACCTGGCATGGGTCAACCTGGCATGGGTCAGCCTGGCGTGGCCCCACCTGGCGTGGATCAACCTGCCGTGGCCCCGCCTGGCATGGGTCAACCTGGTATGGGTCAACCTGGTCTGGTCCAGCCTGGTGTGGCCCCGCCTGGCATGGGTCAACCTGGCCTGGTCCAGCCTGGCATGGGTCAATCTGGCCTGGCCCCGCCTGGCATGGGTCACCGTGGTCTGGTCCAGCCTGGTGTGGCCCCTCCTGGCATGGGTCAGCCTGGTGTGGCCCTGCCTGGCATGGGTCAACCTGGCCTGGTCCAGCCTGGCGTAGGTCAACCTGGCATGGCCCCACCTGGCATGGGTCAACCTGGTCTGGTCCAGCCTGGTGTGGTCCCGCCTGGCATGGGTCAGCCTGGTCTGGTCCAGCCTGGCATGGCCCCTCCTGGCCTGGTGCAGCCTGGCATGGGTCAACCTGGCATGGGTCAACCTGGCCTGGTCCAGCCTGGCGTAGGTGAACCTGGAGTGAGTCCACCTGGCATGGATCAACCTGGCATGGGTCAGCCTGGTGTGGTCCAGCCTAGAAGAGGTCAGCCTGCCATGGGTCAGCGTGGCATAGTACAGCCTGGTTTGTTCCAGCCTGGCATGGCCCAGCCTGGTATAGGTCAGCCTAGCTCGACTGGAGCAGGTCAGCGTAGTTTGCTGCAACCTGGTGCTTACCAACCTCGTTTGGCACAGCCTTACACGGGTCAGCCCAGCTTGGTGATACCGCGAATGTATCACCCTCTTTTGGTCCAACCTAGAATGGATGAGCAAAGTTCAGTGCAGTCTGGGGTGGACGAGAGTGGTCCGGCCCAGCTTGGAATGGACCAGCATGGCTTGGGCCAACCTGGAGTAGGTCAGCAAGGATTTGCGCAACCTGGAATGTATCAGCGAGGTCTGATGCCCCCTGATGCAGGTCAGCAAGGCGTGGTCCCACCTGGGATGTATATGCCAGGTGTGCCGCAGCCGTGGGCAGCCTACCCTGACTTCCTGCACCCTGAAATGTATCCGCACGCTTTGGTCCAACCTAGAATGTATCAGCTTGGACCTGGCTCTGTGCAGCCTGGCGCAGATGAGGGTGGTTCGGTGCAGCCTGGCGCAGGTCAGCCTGGCACAGATGAGGGTAGTTCAGTGCAGCCTGGTGCAGGTCAGCCCGGTGTGGGTCAGCCCGGTGCGGGTCAGCCAGGTGCGGGTCAGCCCGGTGCGGGTCAGCCCGGTGTGGGTCAGCCCGGTGCGGGTCAGCCCGGTGTGGGTCAGCCTGGTGTGGGTCAGCCTGGTGTGGGTCAGCCTGGTGCGGGTCAGCCAGGTGCGGGTCCGCCTGTTTCAGAGCAGCCTGGCGCAGGTCAGCCTGGCGCAGGTCAGCCTGCAGTGTGGCAGCCTGGTTTGTTACCGCCCGATGCAAAGTCACGTGACTTTCTTCAACCTGGCATGGTCAGATCTGGTGCATACCCACCTGGTCTGGGCTACCCTGGTGCCTATCCCCACAGCTTTGTCCCGGCCGGGGCCTACCCTCGGGGCCTTGTCCCGGCCGGGGCCTACCCTCGGGGCCTTGTCCCGGCCGGGGCCTACCCTCGGGGCCTTGTCCCGGCCGGGGCCTACCCTCGGGGCCTTGTCCCGGCCGGGGCCTATCCACATGGGTTTATCCCGCCCGGGGCTGACCAGTACGGCTTGTTTCAACCTGGAGTAGATCCACGAGGCTTCATACTGCCAGACACAGACTCTCGTGGCTTTCCAGCCTTCCACGCAGACTCTCGAAGCTCCGTGCTACCGCACCAGTATCAGTACGGTGTGGAACCCCCTGGCAGCGCTCAGCACGGCCAGCCACCAGCAGCCCTGGCCAGTCAGGGCTTGCCCCCCCGGGGTGTGCGCCGAAAGGGCTTGGTGCGCCCTGGCGCCGTCCGGCCACCATCACGCACGCACGTGGTGGCCACGCACCCAGGTCAGCAGCCTCTGGGATCACCCGGTCCGGATCGGCCTGACCAGGCCACCCCGCACGTGGACGGGCCTAGCCAGGAATACGCCACCCTGGAGTCCCAGCAGCCCCTCAGTGTGGATAAGTTCACCCAGCTGGGCTTGGAGCCGAGCCAGCTTGACATCTCTGTGCCGACGGCTCCGGGCCAAGCTGTCCCCCCGGACTATGTCCAGCGAGTCTCATCGGAAGGCGGCGTCATTCAGGGCGACAGGCACGATTCGCTGGAGAAACTGACTCCAAACTTCCCCTTTGCGGTGGAAACGTTTCGCCTGATGGGAGAGCTTGTCAGCCTGTACACGGAGCTGAAGGAGAGCATAAAGGATCTGGACGAGGAGCAGGCCCACCTCACGGACCTCGAGAAGATCCAGCTCGTCCTGGCCTCCATGGGTGGGTGCCGGGTGCGGGCAGCGCCTGTGTCCGGCGTCAGGGGCGCGGCCTCCCTTGCCTGGGCTTTCTGGGCCCCGGGAGAGCGTGTCTGGGCCACTCTGGGCTCCCCTGTCGTCTTCGGGGTCCTGAGGAGAGAATTGAACCTGCAGTGGGGGGTTGGGGACAGAAGCAGGCTCCGACTCCGTGGTCAGACTCGGGGCACCAGCTGGGGAGAAGGGGGAGATGCTGGGAACAGCAGCGCTGGCGGCTGGGGGTGGCGAGACATAATGCTGAAGAACTAACTTGACCTTTGCCTGGTCACCACCGGGCTTTAGCGCTGGGTGGGATTGTGGGTCAGTGTTCCCAAGGTCCTTTGGGTTATTAGGCTCTGGGGGAACTTTTTGTGGGGGCCCCTGGCCCCACCTTCGCCCCTCTCCCGGGTCCCCAGAGAGGCAACACAGCGATGAACAGGTCCTTCTCGGGTCCTCTCACGGTGGGGCGGGCGTCGGGCCCCAAGTTACTCCGAACATGCGCTCTGGCTTCGCTCCTCAGTCCAGAAGACGATGCCCTCGGACCTGCAGGAGCAGCTGAAGTCCTTGAAGAGCCTGACCAAAGACCTCCGGCAGGAAAGAGCCAAAGTAGGTCCGGAGGCGGCTGCCGCTCTGCCTGGGCACCCCCTTTCCTTGCCCTCCGGGTGGGCGCCCTCTCGCCGGGTCACGGAGGTGGGCCACGCCAGCCCCTCGGGGCCTCGCGGCCGCGTCTGACCTAAGGCGCGCCGTGCCCGTCCCTGGAGGGTGCTGGCTCGCCCGTTGCCCTCAAACCCCTGGCCCGAGCAGGGTCAGAGACGAGGGTGGTGGCCACCAGGGCGGCAGGAAGCGGCTGGATAGGGAGGGGGGCGCTCAGAGGCTCTTAGCCAGCTGACAACTCCAGTGTGCCACCCTCCTCTCCCATGGGGCGGGTAGCTGGAGAGGATTGAGAAGATTCTGGAGAGCGGAGACCTAGAAAGAGGAAAGGAGCTGAAGCCTGACCAGCTGAGCTTGCAGCTGGGCCTCCTCAGGTAAAGCACCCCAGCCAGTGCTGCCATCACGGGCTCCAGCCCGCGGGTGTCAGAACCCACCGCTGGCCTCTGCCTCGGGGCCCCTCGTCTAGTGCAGGCGCTGGGGGCCGCCCCGGGCTCATTCCGTTGAGTCGGAGGAGAGTTTGTTAGCTCAGCCGGGCTGGGCCTCAACCCTCCAGCCTCTCGGCCAGCGCCCAGGGCACCCTGGCAGGACAGGTCAGGCCTGGGACTCCCAGGAGGTGGGACATTCTCCCCCCGTCCCTGATGGCACCCGTGGGCCCTGGGCCTGGGCTGGGGGGCCAGGCTGACCGCTGTCCACACAGACTCACCGTGTCTGACATCGAGAAGGAACTGGCGGAGCTGAGGGAGAGTCAAGAGCGGGGCAAGGCCACCATGGAAAACTCCGTGTCTGAAGCCTCACTCTACCTGCAGGGCCAGGTGAGGACTCCGGGCTCCTTGGCCGCAGGGACTGGGCTCTTCCTGCTCAGAGCTGGCCGTGGATTTGGGGGCTGCCCTGCCTCTGAACGCTGCCCAGGTTCCCCGCAAGGTGTTTTGGGGAAGGTGGTACCTAGGGTTCAGTCCCCTGGTCCAAAGCTGGCCCTGGGGCCACAGGTGCGCCAGCAGGTATGTCCCTGTGGCAAGAGGAAGGTGCCTCTCTGGGTACTGTCTGCCGTAAAGGCTCCCCATCTTTGTTTATTTACTTATTTAATATAATAATTTAATTTTCCATCATTTGGTGCCCACCTCAGTTGTCATCCCCAGGGGCTTCCCATCACTAGATCACCCTGTGCCAGCACTATAGTTCCGTGCACCCCCCATTTTTTATTTAAAGGTTATTTGTGCGTACAGAACTGGGGTACAGGCCAGAGGCTCAGGGGCGGTGAGAGGCTTCCCCAGAGACAGAGCGGGGAGCAGAACAGGCAGATCGAGGAAGTCCACTGCTGAGGGGAGCAGCGAGCGGGTCAGGAGAGGTCTGCCGCGCCCTGTGGTCACCTCCGGGGCAGGCGGGAATCGAACTCATGCGGAAGTGGCTCCAGCTTCTCAGTGCAGTGCTTTAACCCGCTGCGCCACCAGGGAAGGCCTATAGTTGTTCATTTTTTTTTTTTAAAGATTTATTTATTTGTACATACAGAACTGGGGTACAGGCCAGAGGCTCAGGGCCGGTGAGAGGCTTCACCAGAGACAGAGTGGGGAGCAGAACAGGCAGATTGACGAAGTACACTGCTGAGGGGAGCAGCGAGCGGGTCAGGAGAGGTCTGCCGCGCCCTGTGGTCACCTCCGGGGCAGGCGGGAATCAAACTCATGCGGAAGTGGCTCCAGCTTCTCAGTGCAGTGCTTTAACCCGCTGCGCCACCAGGGAAGGCCTATAGTTGTTCATTTTTATTATTATTTTCCCCCTGGTCCTTTACGCTCCTGCTATGAGTGAGACCATCCGGTGTTTTTCCTTTTCTTTCTGGCTTATTTCACGAAGCATGATCCCTTCCAGCTCCATCCATGCTGCTGCAAAGGCATGAGTTTATCTTTTTGATTGCTGAGTAATATTCCATTATGTCAATGGACCACATCTTTTTACTCCGGTCATCCACTTTTGGGTGTTTGGGTTGATTCCATGTCTTTCCTACTGTAAATAAGGCAGCAATAAACATGCTTTCCCCCATCTTTTAAAAATTCCATATACCCTAAAACTCAACCTCCACAAGCACACAGGGTAGTTCTAAGTGCAATTACAAAGTTGTGTAGCCATCACTATGATGGATTTCCAGAGTGTTTCATTTCCCCAAAAGAAGCCCCAGGTACTTCTCTTCACGCCTCTGACACACATGCATCTACTTTCTGTTTCTGTGAACTCATCTGTTCTATGATCTTCACATCCATGGAGTCACACAGAATGTGGCCTTTTGTATCTGGTTTTCCCTCTTCACATGTTTTTTGGGGTGCTATCTATAGTTGCATGGAGTTTGCCTTTTTATGGCCAAGTAATATTCCACGTGTAGTCATACCACCACTAACTTACCCATTCATTAGTACAAGGACATTTAGGTTGTTTCTGCCACTTGGACATTATGAAAAGCATCGCTGTGAACCCTGGTATACAATGCTCGGTGTAGAGCCATTTCGTGTGGCCATTGGCCTGTGTGTGGAATGACCGGGTGAAGTGATACCTCTGTTTAAGCATTTGCAGAGCTCCCCAGAGACAGAGCGGGGAGCAGAACAGGCAGATCGATGAAGTCCACTGTCAAGGGGAGCAGCGGGCGGGTCAGGAGAGGTCTGCCGCTCCCTGTGGGTCACCTCCAGGGCGGGCGGGAATCGAACTCATGCGGAAGCGGCTTTAGCTTCTCAGTGCTGTGCTGTAACCCGCTGCGCCCCCAGGGAGGGCCCACTGTTCAAATTCTTTACCATCTTCTCACTGGGCTTGTCTTCTTGATCACGTCCACTTTTACTCTAGAGTGACACTGTCCTTATCACCCCAGAATAGTCCCAGTGAGGAGGGCCAGGAAGCATCCTGAGTGCACAGGAAGGGTCAGTTAGAGGTCTCAGGCCACAGTGGCTCCGGTCAGCAGCCTCGTCATGCAAGAGGCCACACTCTGGATTACCCCCAGGGTGGCCGGGCAGCGGCGCTGCAGCCCTGCCAGCCCAGGCCGGCTGTGCTGTGGCCTGAGCAGCCGCACCTGCCCCTCCAAAGCGCCCTCCCGGCCTCCCGCACCTCCAGAGATGCTGCTCCCCACCGGGCAGGCCTCCCCTGCTGTCCAGCCCCCTTCCAGCGCCCCGACCTCCTCCGTCCTCAGGCTGCTGCTCCCCCTGGCCGCCTTCCTCAAGTCTCTGCTGGCCTCTCTCTCCTAGAGAGAACTAGTTCATCGTCCTCTGTTCTGGGCCCTGGGGCAGACTCTTCTGGACACTTGAGAAGTCAGGCTCCCGGGCACCAGCCGCAGGCCAGCTGGCCAGAGGAGCTGGGCTGACAGTCCCTGGGTGCGCTCTGGCATGGGTACCGCCCCTCCCTGTGGCCGGGCCCAGCACGGGGTCCCTGAGCCCATCCTTATGGGGGCGTGGCCTCTGGAGACCCCAGGGCAGCGGGAGGGGTCTGCGCCTGGCCTGGCCGGTCACTTTCATGCTAAGTGGGAACGGAGCCTGGGCCAGCCCCTCACGCCCCGGGGCGCCAGCGCGCGGGGCAGCACCTGCAGAGGGCCATGGCCAGCCCCCTGTGGCCCTGAGCTGGAGGAGTGACCGCACACTCCCTCCCCAGAACGCTGCGCCTGGGTCAGCGCCAGGCCGGCGGCTCCTACGGGCCTTGCGATGAGGGGCCGGGGTGGCCACCCGCAGCCCGCACTGCCTGCGTGGGCGGCACGTGGCCAGGGTGCGCTCACCGCCTCGCCTGCCTTCTCGCCGCTCCCAGCTGGACAAGCTCCGGACGATCATTGAGAACATGCTGGCCTCCTCCTCCACGCTGCTGTCCATGAGCATGGTTCCGCAGAAGACCCTGATAGCCCAGTCTCCGGGCGAGGTCAACCCCAAGGCCGCCTGCCCGGCCTGCAGCCTGGACCTGGGCCACCAGGTCAGCCTGCTGGTGCAGCGCTACGAGCAGCTGCAGGACATGGTCAGCAGCCTGGCGGCCTCCCGGCCCTCCAAGAAGGCCAAGCTGCAGGGCCAGGTGAGCCCCGGCCCGCTGGCGCAGCCACAGGCCCGCGGGGGCCGAGCCCAGGGGCAGCCAGCTGAGTGCGTCCCGAGGGCGGGGAGAGCGTCCAGGCCCCGCGTGGACCCCCGCAGCGACGCAGAGGCCCCGTCCCGCAGGCGCGTCAGGCCAGGGCGTGGCAGAGCGGGCTCCGGGCCGCCACGGAGGACCCGTGCCGGCGGGTGTCTAGGGTGCGGGCGCAGCTTGCGCCGGAGTCCGAAGGCCCCTTTAGGCGTCTCAGGCCCTCCCGATCGCCGCTGACGGACGGGCAGTCGGCGGGGGCAGGAGGCGCCGCCCGGGGCTGGGGTCTGGGGCTCAGTCTCAGCCTGAAGCAGGGAACTCAGGGCCGGCGGCCTCGCTGCGGCACCCCGACAGCCTCCGGAGCCTCGGGAGGTGGCCGGGGCCTCCTGGTGGGTGGACCGAGGGGCGGTGAGCCCTCCCCGCTGTCGGCGGGAGCGGTGGGGTCTCCCAGAGCCGGAACCGGGTCTGAAGATGGCTCTGCGCCAGCGGCTGCTTGAGCGCCGGCTCGGCTCCCGAGGGGCCCACCCCAGTGCCGCCAGCGGCTTCGGGGAGCCCCCTTCCCTCTCGCTCAGGATGAAGAGCTGCTGGGCCACGTCCAGAGCGCCATCCTGCAGGTGCAGGGCGACTGCGAGAAGCTCAACATCACCACCAGCAGCCTCATCGAGGACCACCGCCAGAAGCAGAAGGACATCGACGTGAGGCGGGGCGCGGCGGGCGGGCGGCGCCCCCCTGCCCCGCCCTCCCTGTGCTCAGCCCCGCTCCCTGCAGGTGCTGTACCAGGGCATAGAGAAGCTGCAGAAGGAAAAGGCCAACAGGGAGCACCTGGACATGGAGATCGGCGTGGTGAGGGCCGGGCCAGGGCCGCTGGGGTCGCGCTGACCCGCGTCTGCCAGCCGGAAGTGAAGGGGCGGGGGGCTCCCAGTCGCCCTGGGGTGACAGGGGAGCGGGGTCCCTCCCTGGCGCTCGCCCACCGGGGCCGCCGCCTCTCCCCCTCGGCAGAAAGCCGACAAGAGCGCCCTGGCAGCCAAGGTGAGCCGCGTCCAGTTTGACGCCACCACAGAGCAGCTGAACCACATGATGCAGGAGCTGGTGGCCAAGATGAGCGGGCAGGAGCAGGACTGGCAGAAGATGGTGGACAAGCTCCTGCTGGAAATGGACAGCAAGGTGGGCAGCAGGCCCCCCCGGCCCCGGCTGGGGCAGCGCCACCTTGTGCGGGCGGGCACTGGCGTCCGGTGGCCTTCTCAGAGCGCCTGTCCCCGCCGCCTCCCACCCGCAGCTGGACCGCCTGGAGCTGGACCCGGTGAAGCAGCTGCTGGAGGACCGCTGGAAGTCCCTGCGGCAGCAGCTCAAAGAGCGCTCCCCGCTCTACCAGGCGGACGAGGCCGCCGCCATGCGGAGGTGCGGCTGCCCCGCTGATGGCTGCGCTGGCCGGTCCCGGCCGTCCTGGGGCGCCCGGCCGGGCTCGAGCGCCGCGTTTCCGCTCATGGCCGCCAGGGGGCGCCCGAGGCCCACGCGGTCCCCACCCGGCCCAGGGCCCTTAGGAACCTGCCGTTGGGCTTCGAGCTCAGCCAGGTGGGCTTTGGAGTGTGCCCGAGTGTCCAGGAGCAGGCTGGCCTGGCCTCGGGGCCGGAGAGCCGAGCCCCGGGCCCAGCCCGCGGCCCAGCCCGCTGGCCCCCGGGGGTCTCCGCTCAGACCCTGGGGTGCGCTCACCCTCGCCACGCCCTTCCACCAGGCAGCTGCTGGTCCACTTCCACTGCCTCTCCTGTGACCGTCCGCTGGAGACGCCGGTGACTGGACAGTGAGTGGCGGCGTGGGGCACCCCGCGCTCCTCCACAGCCTCCTGCCTCCGAGGCCGCGGCCCTCCCTGGCCGCCCGGCGGCTCACCCCGCCCTCGCGGGCCCTCCCTCTGCCCTCGCCAGGATCATCCCCATGACGCCCGTGGGCCCGGGCCTGCCCGGCCACCGCTCCACCCGCCCCTACACCGTCTTCGAGCTGGAGCAGATCCGGCAGCAGGGCCGCAGGTAGGGGCAGCACAGGCCCGGGCCGCCCCGCCCTGCCCGCCCAGCGCTGGGCCTTCCCCTGGGCCTGCCCTCGGCCTGCGAGCTGTGGACAGGGCTCCTGCCTCCTGCTTAAGGCGGGCGACTCGGGTGCGGCCCAGGGTCTGCGCCCGTGGCTCGGCCCCGCCCCCTCACGCCGGTGTCCCCCTCGTGCAGCTCCCTGAAGCTGGGCGGCCCCTTCGGCCGGGGCGACCTGGGCCAGGTGGAGCGCAGCGTGGGGCGCCTCCGCACCATGCACTCCAAGATGCTGATGGACATCGAGAAGGTGCAGGTCCACTTCGGGGGCTCGGTCAAGGCCAGCAGCCAGATGATCCGTGAGCTGCTGCAGGCCCAGTGCCTCGGCTCCCCCTGCTACAAGCGGTAGGAGGAGCAGACGGGCCCTGGCGGGCGCCCCCAACCCCTCAGGCTGCGGGAATGTGGGGCGCATGCGCACCGGTGCCCAGCGGGGCGGGGTGCCGTCCTCACCCGCCCCCGCTCCCAGGCCCCCCGATCCCGCAGAGCTGGCTGCCCTGGGCCGGCCCCCAGCAGCGGGTGCCCCGTGCCCCCTGCTGGGGTGACCCCTCTGTCCTGCGCAGGGACACCTCGGACTATACCTACTCCACGGTGCCCCGGCGCTGCGGGGGCAGCCACACGCTCACCTACCCCTACCGCCGCAGCCGCCTGCAGCACCTGCCCCAGGGCCTGTGCCCCATCGAGGAGATCCAGATCGCCATGAAGGTGGGGGCCCACGGGGGGCTCCGATGCGGCCCCACTTCTCAAGTGGTCTGGAGAAACCACTGGTGGCCACCGGCCCCTGGGCTTGAGGACCCGGCTGCCGCTCTGGCTGCACCAGGGAGTTGGGGGGACGGTCGGACCCTGGTGGGGGAGGGGGAGGGGGAAAGCCAGCTCTGGGCGCCCAGGTAACAGCCCGGCACCCCCGCAGCACGACGAGGTGGACATCTTGGGCCTGGACGGACATATCTACAAGGGACGGATGGCTACACGGCTGCCGGGCGTCCTGGGCAAGGACGGTGAGTACCGGGGCGCCGAGGGGCCCCCCGCTTCCTGCACAGGTCCCACAGGCCCCTCTGCCTCCTGCAGGCCTGGCCCCTTCCTCTTCTAGTTCCAGACACTCGGGTCCCCAAGAGCCCCCCGCGGCACCGGCAGGTGGAGGAGACCCCAGTCCCGGCTGGGGCGTCCGGCCCCTCTCACTGGCCTCGGCTCAGACGCCCCGGCCTGCCTGCTGCCTCCGCCACCTCCCATCCTCTCCTGGCCAGGGCCCCCTGACCCGGGCCCCCCCCCCCAGAACCCCGTCCTCCAAGGCCCTGCGGCGGGTCCCCCGGGCTTCCCTGAACGCCTGCCGCCGGCTCGCCGTGCCTGGGGCATGCCGCACCCTCCCCTGGGAACCGCAAACCCGGCGGCACTCGCCAGGCCCTGGCCGGGGCCGCGTGCGCAGGGCCTCGCGCAGCTGAGGCGGGAGGGTGGACGGGTGGACGACGGGTGACCGGAGCGCTGCTCAGGGCCCACCCCTGAGTTGAGATGGCGGAGGCCCCCCCGGGGCTGGCGGCGAGCCCCCTCTGTCCCGCTCCAGGCCCCCTGCCCCTCCCGCCTTGGCCTCTCGAGCTGACCTCACCCTGTGGTCCCCGCCAGCCGCAGGGATGCCCAAGAAGGCCAAGCTGTCCCGGCTGCCCCTGCAGCGCCAGCAGCCGCCCCGGGAGCACAGCCAGCTGCCCTCGCGGCCCCAGAGCGCACAGATGCTGCCCGGGAGCAGCTCAGGTACCGGCGGGGCTGGAGGAGGGGCGGGCCGGGGCGGGTGGAGGCCGGGTGGAGGCCGGGTGGAGGCCGGACGTCTCAGGGTGGGCACAGGGCGGCCCCAACCCCGGTCCGGCCTGGCCCGCGCCTGCTCCTGCTGTCGGCCCTGGGGCCCCACGTGCCGGGTGGGGTGGGGGTGAGGGCGGCTTGGGGAGCCCGACTCCCTCATCTGCTCCCACCCCCCGGAACTGAATCCTGACCGCAGTCAGGGCGCCGCGGGTCCCCCAGACCCAGCCACGTGTGGGGGCCAGAGAGGGCCACTTCCCAGCGAGGCTCAGCAGCCCGGCCCTCCCCCACGTGACCCTCGGGTGCTGGGTTAGTCGCGCCCCTGCTCTGGCGGGGAGCTGCCGGCCAGTAACACTGCGGTGGCCCCACCCCTCGAGCCTCTGTACCCCAGTTCCAGCACTCGCGAGAGCCTGGGCGAGGGGGGACAAGCCCAGCTGGTGGAGGTCATGGCGCCTCTCCTCTGTGGCGGGGCCCTGACACGGACACGCCAGCTGCTGTCCTCGGGCCGACGCCGAGAGGCAGGGGCTGAGCTCGCTGCCGCTGAGGCACCCGGGGCCCAGAGAGGCCAAGGTATTTGCCCGGGGTCACACAGCTGGAGCTGAGTTCAGAGCCCGCTGCCGGGGCTGGTAACCAGGGGCCCGCGAGAAGAGCTTTCAGTGGCGGGTAGGCGTCGCCCGTGACCCTCCCCGGGCCGTGCCCTCGGGCGCTCGTGTCCTGCCGGCCTCGGTGGGCCGCGCCACTCCCGCCCGGTGACTGAGAAGCAGGAGGGGGCGGCCAGGGCAGACACTCGCAGTGCGTGGGGACTGCGCGGGCCTGCGCCAGCAGCGTCCCCGAGGGAGGCCCCCCCCCCCCGTGGCGGTGGCGTGAGGGGCTTCCCCTCCTGCAGGCAGGGGGGCTCGGCGCCCCGCTCAGCTCTGACCAGCCCCACTCTGGCTGCTGGGCCGGGGCGAGGCGGAGCCAGCTCAGCCCTCCCCTCTCGCAGCTCCTTCCAGCCAGCGCAAAGACAGACCCCTGTCCTCCGAGGGCCGCCTCTCCCAGCTCAACACAGCCGGCCAGTCCAGCCCCAGCGAGCTGGGGAGCCTGCCAGAGGGGCTGCACATGGACGTGCCCCCCGGGGAGGGGCTCGCGGAGCCCACCCGGGACCACGGTCCCAGCCGCGGACGAGCAGAGCTATGAATAAACATTCAGGAAGCAGCTCGCCGCGAGGCCTTTCTGGTCCCAGCTCGGGGTCAGGAGGGGCTCTGGGGCCAGGCCTGCCGGCGGCCCCCAGAGGGTGCTGGGCTTCGGAGCTGGGCTCCACCCAGTGGAGGAGGAGGTGGCCCAGGCCAGGCCCAGGCCCAGGCCCCGAGCCCGCCGTGGGGCCCGCTCCCACCTAATGGTTGGCGCTGCCTCCCGGTCTGGGGAGACCAGCTCTGGCCTCGGGGTGCTCGGGCCAGACTGAAGCACAGGGCCTCGAGCTGCGTCCTGGGACAGAGGACACAGGTCCCGGCTTGGCTCCCGGGCGAGGCCGCCAGCGGCCACCTGGGGCGAGGGTGGGTGCTTCCCCCTTATCCCATCTGCTGAGCCCCCATTCATCTCCACGTGAAGCGCTGGGTGCTCTGGCGGGGGCGGGGTGCAGCGGCGGGGGCCCCAGGGTGCCTCTTCTCCTCCGGAGGCAAGCCACGCCAGCCCCGCCTCGCCCCCACAGCTGCGCGGGCTCCCCTTTCTCTCACCCGCTGAAATGTCAGAGGTGGCCTGCTCAGTGTCCCTGGCCTGGGCTCACCCGCTGGCAGGGAGGCGCCGGGCAAGGACACCTGTGTCTGGCCTCCCCAGCGCCCAGGCAGGGCCAGGGGCCACGTTCCCTCAACAGCCCAGGCTGAGCCCCATCTCCACACCGGCCAGGCCCAGCACCCCGGCAAACCCACCTGGCTGCCCACGCACCCAAGGGGCTCCCCCTTCTCACAGGGAAAGCCCAGGTGGGCAGAGGGAGGGGCGGGGCGAGGGCAACCTCCAGGCTGTCAAAGCAGCAGGAAGCGAAACTGAAAGGGCAGCGCCACCCCAGGGCAGCCACATGCAGAGGGGGCCGCCACGTGCGGGGGGGTGGGGTGGGGGGACACCGAGGCAGCCATGCGCCTGCCGGGCTGCTCTCCCACGGGGCGCCCACCCGCGTCGCGGAGCCCAGGAAGGCCCGGTGGCCTGCCCGGCGGGGCTCCTCGCTGTGGCTTCACTCCAGGGCCCGAACCCCCAGACCCCCAGTCCCCATCCCGTGTCCGGGCAGAGGGGGAGGGCGACATCCCAGCGCACGGGCTCAGAGCCTGAGGGTGGCCGCTGGTGCCCGCAGGCTGCACAAGGCCGGAGGGGAGGGAAGCGGGTCCCTCCGCAGAAGCAGCCGGTGGCGCCGGAGCCTCCGCTGGCCCGGGGTCCCGCACGCCCCCCGCCCGCTGCCAGGAGGCAGGCTGTGGGCAGAAGGGCGGAGGTGGCCGAGCTGGGGATGCTGAGGGCCAGGAAGGTGCGGGCAGCCCGCCTCCCCGCACCTGGCCACGGAGTCCTGCCAGCCCCAGGCCCAGACGCAGCGAGACGCCAAGGCCACGGCCCAGCCCCGCGGACAGGACAGCCCGGCCGGCAGGTAAACAAAGGCACCAGAGGCGGGGAAGTCAGCAAAGTGTTTTTAAGTTTTCCAATGAAGTGTCACCCTGGTGAGACTGGTCGTGGGGACCGTAAAGGGAGCTCTCCCTGCCCCGGGCAGGCGGGCCGGCTGCTCCCACTGGGCTGCGCCCCTCGGTGCTGGGCGGCACCCAGAGGGGACAGTGGGAGTCACCGAGGAGCCAGCCGCCGAAGGTCACGACCAGGGGTGGGGTGGGGGACGCGTGCTGGCCTCTCCAGGCCCCCAAGGTCAGGCGGCCCCAAGCTCACATCATCAGTCGTATTTATATGTTCATATATATTATAGTTATATATTAAAAAGAGGAAAAAACTTGCCTGAAGAGAAACTCCTGAAAGACCCAAGTGGCTCAGGAAGTTCGCTGTCCTCCCCCCGCCCCTGCCGCCCACAAAATC